CACCGAGCCTCGGGCCCAGCTGCCCTTGGCGCAGAGGAGCGCCCAGGGCTCCGAGAGGCGGCGCAGTGGGGACCAAGCTCAGCCCCAGGTAGCGTTCACCCAGGAGCAGAGACCACTCGATGACCTTGTGGGTCAGGAGATGTGGACGAGCCAGACCAACCCTGGTGGCTGGTCACAGAGGGGCAGCCAGCCCCAGCAGGGGTTCTTGCGGATGCCCCAGGCCTTCCAGGCTGAAGAAGCCCAGATGGGTGGCCTGGGGCACCCACCCATGAATATGGGCTTTCCTTCGGAGGGTGAAAGCGGCATCCAGGCCAACAACCCCCCGGCCAGCCTAATGGTGCAGCAGCTACAGCAGAACCAAGGCAGCCTCTTCCAGCAACTAGAGTCCACCTACCAGAACTCCCTGGCCAACCCCTTGGGCCAGTTCAACGTCTACCACAGAGAAGGCCAGCAGTTCTACCAAGGCACCCAGCACGGCCCCTACCTAAGGGACGACCCTGCTCTCCACTTCTCACCCTCCGAGCTGGGCTTCCTGCCCTACAACACAGAGTTGCCCGAGTCTGAGCCCCGGGAGCTGGCCGTGCAGAATGCCAAGGCCTACCTGCTGCAGACAAGCATCAGTTGTGACCTCAGCCTGTGAGAGGGGCCAGGAGTGGGGCGGATGGGAGACCCAGGCAGGGAGGGGCCCAGCCAAGTCCTTGCCTCAGTCAGACAGGGGATTGCCCCTCATGGGAAACCAGTGACTGCTCTGGGCATCTAGCTCAGCCAGGAGTCAGGGACTAAACACTTAACAATAGCTAGCGTTCACTGACCAGACGTGTGCCAGGACATGCTCACACCTGGTTCTCACAGCTGAGATGGACACATCCACTGTCCCTATTGTACAGAGGAGGAGACAGAGACACAGAGAAGTTAGGTCGCTTATAGCCAAGATTACGCAGCCAGGATGTGGCAGAGTCAGGATTCCAGAGCAAGTGATTTGGCTCCTGAGGCCCTGTTTTTTTGTTGTTTTTTGGTTTTGTTTTTTTTTTGAGTTGGAGTCTCACTCCATCATCACCCAGGCTGGAGTGCTGTGGCAAGCTCACAGCTACCCTAGCGTTGATCTGCTAGGCTCAGGTGATCCTTGATCCTTCTGCCTAAGCCTTCAAAGTAGCCGGAACTAAGGGCACTCACTACCATGCCCGGCTAATTTTTTGTTTTATTGTAGAGGTGAGGTCTTGCCAAGTTGCCCAGGCTGTTCTCAAACCTGTGGGCTCAGGCAGTCCCCTCACCTCAGTCTCTCAAAGTGCTGGGGTTACAGGCTTGAGCCACCCAGCACCCAGCCGAAGCCCTGTTCTTATACACTAAACTTCTCTGCCAGAGGAGGGTACGTGCCAAAGCCACTTGGCTACAGTCACAATATGCCACCGTCCAACACCATTTGGTACTCACAAAGCTCGCATTCTAGGAGAATGGACAAGAAACCTAAAAGATAGGGCGTAGCTGAGCACAGCGGCTCATGCCTGTAATCCCAACACTTTGGGAGGTGGAGGCAAGAAGATTGCCTGAGCCCAGGGGTTTGAGACCAGCCTGAGCAACATGCGAGCCTTCGTCTCTACAATAAATAAATAAAAAATTAGCTGGGCGTGGTGACACATGCCTGTAGTCCCAGCTACTTGGAAGGGTGAGGTGAAAAGATTGCCTGAACTCAGAAGGTTGAGGCTGTAGTGGCTGTGAGCATGTCACTGCACTCCAGCCTGGGTGACAGTGACTCCAACTAAAAAAAAAAAAAAGGTGAAGGTAAGGGTTTAGGTGAAAAATAAGGCAGGGTAAGAAAGATAAGGAGTACATGTTCCACAGCGTGACAACAGGGAAGGCCTTGGAGGAGGTGACATTTAGTGAGGGCGGCAAGGGAGCACACCTTGCAAGGTGTAACTGCAGGAAGAGTGACCCAGGTATAGGGCGTGGCAAGTGCAGAGGCTTTGAGTCTTGCTGTGTTTGAGGAACAGCAAGGAGGGGCCGGTATGTCAGTTACCGAGGGAGAAAGAGAGAGAGAGCTTGATGAGGTCATGGGTCTTACTTAAACCACAAAGCGGCCCCATCGCGCCCCTAATGCTCACAACCTGCTGTGACCTCACTGCCCTCCAGAGGGAGCTCGGACTCCTCACCACAGCCTTCAAGGCCCTGTACGGTTCCCTCCCTGCCCCACCTCGCTTCTGTTTACTCCCTGCTCCTTCCTCATAGCCTAGAATCCAGTCAGAATCAGCCCCAGCAAGTTCCAGCTCTTGGGAGCTTCAGAGTCTCTTCCTGAAAAGCCCTGGCCAACGTGTCACCCCCACCTTAGCCTTCCCAGCTGCAATGATAGCCCTCCCCCGCACCTAAGACCACTGATTAATGCTCTGAGAGCCTGACAATCTGGGTTCAAACGCAGACCGTGCCGGCCAGCACGAGAACTCATGACCTCAACTGTTCCAAGCCCCGTTTCCTCACCCAGAGATGGGGTAACTGTTCCTCCGAGGTATGGCAGTGGTGAGCATTGAGCACTGCCTTCAAGTGCACGGCTTGGTGCCTGGCTGCGGTGAATGGACGCTACGAGGACCATAGTATCATTCTAGGGTCCCCTCTTCCCCTCCCACTCTCCACTCCAGCCACGCAGAACCTTCTAGATGTTTCTCCAACATGCCAGGCACTCCCATCTCGAGGCCTTTGCACATTCCCAATGTATCACCTGCAAACTCTGACAGTTTTGCTGCTTCCTTTCTCATTCTTTTTTTTTTTTTTTTTTTTTTGAGTTGGAGTCTCACTCTGTCGCCCAGACTGGAGTGCAGTGGCCGCTCCCGGCCACCGCAACCTCGACCTACTGGGCTCCGGCGATCATTCCGCCTCAGCCTTCCAAGTAGCTGGAACTACAGGCGCGCGCTACCACCCCCGGCTAATTTTTGATTTCTTGTCGATATGAGGTCTGCCAAGTTGCCTGGGCGGGTCTCAAACCCGCAGGCTCAGGCAATCCACTCACCTCAGCCTCCCAAACCACAGGACTCCAGGCTCAGCCACCGAGCCTGGCTCCTTTCCCAGTATTGTATGTTTTCTTTCTTTCTCGTGCTTTATTTATTATTTTATTTTATTTTATTTTATTTATTTATTTTTGAGTTGGAGTCTCACTCTGTTGCC